AATAACTAAATAAATGGAGAAATATTTCATGTTCAATATTGTCAAGATATCAGTTCTTCCCAAATTGCCATCCCAGTCAAAATCCCAGCAAGTTATTTTGTAGGCATCAACAAACTGATTCCTAAGTTTATATGGAGAGGCAAAAGACCCAGGATAGGCAACACAATATTGAAAGAGAAGAACAAAGTTGAAAGACTGACATAACTCAACTTCAAGACTTACTATAAAGCTACAGCAATCAAGACAGTTTGTTATTGGCAAAAGAATAGATCAATGAGTCAATGAAACAGAATAGAGAGCTCCAAAACCCACCTCATAAATATAGTCAACTGATCTTTGATAAAGGAGTAAAGACAATCTAATGGAGCAAAAATAGTCTTTTCTGGAAAAACTGGAACTGGAAAAACTGGTTATCCACATGCAAAAAAAAATAAATCTAAGCACAGGTCTTACACTCTTCACAAAAATTAACTCCAAATAAATCACAGACCTAAATGTAAATACAAAATGATTAAGTTTCTAGAAGGTAACACAGCAGACAATCTGGAAGACCTTGGTTTTGATGATAACTTTTCAGATACAACACCAAAGTCACAGTCTATGGAAGAAAGAATTGATAAGCTGGACTCCATAATAATTAAAATTTCAACTCTGAAAAAGATATTGTCAAGAGAATGAAAAGAAAAGCCACAGACTGGAGAAAATATTTGCAAATGACATATCTGATAAAGGACTGTTATCCTAAAATATACAAAGAAATTTAAAATAAGAAAACAAATGACCAGACAAAAAAGGGCTAAAGACCTTACAGACACCTCATCAGAGAAGATATGCAGTTAGCAAATAAGCATAGGAGAAGATGCTCAACATCATATATCATCAGGAAAATGAAAATTAAGACAACAATGAGTTACCACTACATACCATTAGAATGGCCAAAATCCAGAACACTGAAAACACCAAATGCTGATGAAAATGTGGAGCAGCAGGAACTCTCATATTCATTGCTGGTGGGAATGCAAAATGATGCAGCATTTTGGAAAACAGTCTCTCAGTTTTTTACAAAAATAAATATACTCTTACTATATGATCCAGCAATTGTGCTCCTTGGTATTTACTCAAAGAAGTTGAAAACTTATCTTCACACAAAAACATGCCTGCAGATGTTTATAGCAGCTTTATTCATAACTGCCAAAACTTGGAAGCAACCAAGATATTCTTCAGTAGGTAAATGGATAAATAAACAGTGGTAGCTGGGTATTATTCAGCACTAAAAAGAAATGAGCTATCATGCATGTAAAGACATGGAGAAAACTTAAATGCATATTTCTAAGTGAAAGAAATCAATCTGAAAAGGCTATATACTGTATAATTTCAACTGTATGACATTTTGGCAGAGGAAAACTGGAGACACTGAACAGATCGGTATTTGCCAGGGACTGGAGTCGGGGGAGGATTTTTAGAATAGTGCAAATACTCTATGTGATACTATAATAGTGAATACATGCTATTATACGTCTGTTTAAATCCATAGAATGTACAACACTAAGAGTGAAGCCTAATGAGAATGATGGGTCAATGTAGTTTCAACAATTGTAACAAATGTACCACTCTGGAGCAGTGGGATGTTGATAACTGGGGACCCTATGTATGTGTGGAGACGGGGGCACATGGGAAATCTTTGTACCTTCATTCAATTTTGCTATAACCTAAAACTGTTCTAAAGATAAAATCTATTTTTTAAGAGTTTATTAGACAATTAGTTTAAGTAACTATTACAGCAAACTGTATATAGCATGCTATATTATTTTGGTAGTTAATCCCTCTCTACTAGAGAATCTGTGAAACTTTCAGTCAGGTATAGCTTTTTAGTAATGTCAATATTGATTATGTTTCTGGGTCAAATGTGGATTCCTCTACTTTGTTTCTGCTAGTCTATCCTATACCTGATAGTGTATGAATAGCACTAGCTTGTTTACAGAATACAGAGAAAATCTCTGTTTTCTGCAATCACTCAAAATTCAGATAGTATCTGAATATTAATTAATCTTCCTCAAAAATATTTCTAAGTATTTTTTCCGGCTTCCCATCCTTCTCTACTTTACCTTTAAGATACAAATAAAGAGATGTGATGATTCAATAGCATGGAAGCTAGGAGTCTTCGTCAAGAATATTTCAGAAGGAAATTTTATTTCCTAAAATTTGGGTGCAGAATGTTATAGTGCAGAGTCAGGCTTTAGGTGAAGATAGTGGGAGATTTTCATCCACTCACTTATGGTGCGTTTTGTGTTTCCCTATCACAAAGACAAGGCTCACACATCAACCATTAAGAAGCAAACCACACCACACTGGGCAGAAGGTGCTCTCTAGGGAGGACAGGTTTATTACAACCTCTTCACTCTTCAGTTCTTTCCACATCCATCCTTAAAGTTTCATCTCTCTATTCAACTTGATAGGACTCCAAAAAAAAAGCTGGGAGGGCTCTGAAATTTAAAGCAGGTGTCAATTTATACTTGGATAAGAGGTAAAAGAGGTAAATCAGGAAGAGCCATGGCAAAACAATAACTCATAATTGCCTCATATCACCCAAGAATCAACCACATTTGTCATTCTAAGATACTTAGGTAGCAAGATCAAGGTATTTGTTTTTTGACCAGTGGATGAACACTAGTAAAGAGATTTTAAATATCCACAAAATTAGACAGAAACAATACATACCAACCAGCTCTACAGCTTACTAAGACAATAGATCCAAGAATAACCAGGTAGATATTGAAGGGAAGTCAGGACTAGATAGGTTTTTCCTAATTTATAAATGCATAGGAAACAAAACAAAACAATTGAGGATTATGAAAGTATTCTGCACTGTCAAATTCAAACTTATTTTACGATATATAAATGAACAGCACAGTTTTAAAGAACATTTACCACAGGAAATTTTAGAAAGTTTTCCTCTCTATTCCCCTAAATCCAGGAAAATTTAGATTCTATGAATCAGGAACAAAAAGATGAGACAACATTCTGGGATAAATAGGGAGTTGGCTACAAACCAGGTGAACTGAGTTATATTAAGAAAGATGAGCATGAAACAAAACTAAAAAGAACGCATCTGCAGAATTGAAAACAGTGTCATAAGTAATAAATTACAGATACAGAAAAATATTTTGTTGATAAGAAAGATATGGTAAGGTAATTCTATTATAGAAAAAAGAAAAATAAAATTATGAAAGAGAAAATTATAGAAACAAGGCAGAGAACAGAGAGCCAACAAATGAAAGAAAAAGAACAAATGAAAATAAAGTGAAACTTAAGATCTAACAGAAGAAGAATTTTGATCTAAGGAAAGACTGGAATACAGATTGAATAGGCTCATTTTGTAGGTAGCAGAATTAATGAAAAGCATCACTCTGAAAAGAGACTATTGTTTAAATATCCTCCCAAGTCCTTAGAGAATTCCAAGTGAAAGGAAAGATCCTAGAGGCATCAGGAAAAAAGCAGATTTCCTACCCTAGACTATTGGGGATCTTGTAATAAACAAAATAAACATCTTGTAATAAACAAAATAAACATCTTATAATAATAGAGCAACATCTACAGTTCTGAAGGGGAAAAAAAAGATTGATACTCAAGAATCCTATGCAAAAACAAATTTGTCATTTATGTTTAAAGGCAGCAGAAATGAGTCTCAATTATAGAAGTTCTTATGACATATGCTACTCATCTATTCTCCTTAAATTAACTATAAAAATACATTTCAGCTAAATAAGAGACAAAGCAAATATAAAACTCAATAACAGCATTAAAAGGATTAGTTGTAAACATTGAAGACAATAAAATGTAGAATTAAATTTATAAAAAGATTTTCAAAATGACTTCAAAATAAAAAGGCAAGATCACTTTTTTAAAAAATGACAGAATAAAAGTACTTAACAATAATCTGGATGTTGGGTGGATGGGGATACTACTTTCTTTGTATTACATATTTTATTTATTTTGTTCAGTACATTAATCATTAAGGAAACATTTTATTTATTTAATACAATGGTAATCATTAGTAGAATGATAAAACCGTATACCGTAAAAATCACTAGGCTAGGTAAAGTTTAGTTTTCATAAGGCAAATTTGAAATCAATAGAAATATCAAAAATGTAAAAACACACAATCAAAATGACACATGTTAACATGTGTAAAGATGTCAGCTATGACAATGCTATTAATCAGTTCAAATTTTGAATTAAAAATTTTCAATCAAAATTTCAATTTTCAATTAAAATTCAACATAAATATTCTCTGTTGAGTCAAAATACAAAGTCAATTATATGCTCTTTATAAAGAATCACTGTCAAACAAAATATGAACATTTTAAAATAAAATAGTTAAACTGGTCTGACAAAATTTTTAAAAAAGGACAAAAAAAAATAAAGCAGTTATTTTTGCTGGTCAGAGTAGAACCCAAAGTAAGGAAAGAGCACTAAACAGGAGAAAGTTAATGATTATTTTATTTTTATTAAGGATAACTCTGTAATAGAAATGTGATTATGCATATAACATATCATCAAAATGTACAGAATAAAACTATAAAAGTAATAGACAATAATAATTCTATTAGTGTTTGATGTGGTAAAACATTAATAAGTTTATATGGTATCTGAACAGCATAATTTTTAAAGTTTAATTCTTATGTATATATGTACATATGTAACTTTGTACCCTATGAACAGAAGATAAATTATCTTTTAGGAATCCATGGAAACTTGAACAATTGTTCATAAATTAGACCGCAAAGAAGACACTGATAATTTTAAAAACTGAAAATTATATAGATCTTATTGTTTTACTATAAAGCAATAAAATTTAAAATTAATAACAGAAGATTAAACAAGGACTTGAATATATGAACTCTTATAAGTAATAATTAGATTAGAAGGATATCAAAAGTGAAATTATAAAACATTTTAAAAGTAAATATAAATATGCTGTTCTTTTCATTCTTCTATAGGTTTGAAGATATTCATTATAAAGTTTGGAAAACTACAATGTGAGAACTACACAAATTTGAGTACTCTCATTCTGCTCTCTTAAATCTGCACTGGTGGGACTAAGTTTCATGGATGACTTGGATATTAGTCATCATGAGAACAACTTTCATGGTGAATACTACATGGAGAAATTGTGTGCCTTGAAATCATTTGGAAGATCATTCCTGACAGCACCTTGAAGATTTTTTTTCAACCAATTTCATTCACAAGGTATGGCCTTCAAGAGTGTGTGGCCATTCAAACCACTTATACACTTTAATACAATCACCACAATAGAGTTATTCATGTGGGTATTTTAAGTCTGGTGGTATAATCTTCTCAGATGATAGTATGCTTTTGTAAGTTAGAAGTCAACATTAAAAAGGCTCATGGAGTTAATTTAGGTTCTGTACAATTCATCACTCAGCATGTCATTGCAGACTACACGGCCGGAGGAGGAAGGCTTACGTAGGAAGAAAAATGCCAGTTCTCCTTTTAGATAGACTAAAAATCTTAAATTTCAGGTTTATTCTGCTCAGAAGAACATGTACACTTGGATGGGAATTTGGGAGTTAAATATCGAATTCAAATTATCAGAACAATCTGGCTCTTTTTTTCTTTTTTCTTTTTTTAGCTGTGAGAATAAATGGTAAAACTATGTCAGAATATTATTAAAAAGCAAGCATTCTCTCAATTCAAAAGGACACATTGTTACTAGCAGTGATTCTGGTAAATAAATATTTTTCAGTTGGCCTTCCAGTCTCATATCTGTTTCCTGAGTTGGTCAGTGTTAAACTGCGGTTCCCAGATCTTTGGTAAAATTTGTCTTCTTCTCAAATTTCTGTAGCAGTTACCACTTAATTTTCTTTTTTCACCTTGCTTTTCTTTTCCTTCCTATTTTAATCAAATCAACTCATTATGTAATTAACAAATTAACAGTGTTTAAGTTGTTGAATAAATGAGAATTCAAGAATCTTTTTTGAGAATCTTAAATCTTGCAACCAAATATTACTTTTCAAATAGTAGGTGATTTTTAAAATTGAGTTTACAAGACTCATTCAGCATTTACTAGCCTTTGGCTTCACTAATTACATCAAGATAATGACTGTTAATCATATACGTATTAAATTTCTCACTTTAAAGTTTTTTTTTGTTGTGTCATTTATCCAGTTTTTAGATAAATGTCTAAATTCAATGGTTGAGATCACAGAGCTAATGAATCATATTCTTAGAAGTGTTTTTCCTCTGGTGAAGTTCAGTACACTGTTGAAGTATTATTGGTTCTAAGAATTAACATTTTTTACCCTAACAATTAACTTGAGAATAGAATAGTTATCTATACAGTAGTCCCCTATTATCAATGGTTTTGCTTTCTGCAGTTTCACTTACCTGTAGTCCAAAAATATTAAATGGAAAATTCCAGAAATGAACAATTTATAAGTTTGAAATTGCATGACATTCTGAGTAGCATGATGAAGTCTTACACTGTCCTGTGCTGTCCTCCCAGGGACATGAATCATTCTTCTGTCTCGTGTATCCACCTGTATTCACTCTTGCCTGTTGGTCACATAGTAGCCATCTTAAATTTTAAATCAGTTATGAGAGAGAGAGAGAGAGAGTAAGAGAGAGAGAGAGAGAGACCACATTCACATAACTTTTATTATAGTAGATTGTCATATTCTATTTTATTGTAGTTGTTAATCTCTTACTGTGCCTAATTTATAAATTAAACTGTATCATAATATGTATCTATAGGGAAAGCATAGTATATATAGAGTTATGTATTATCTGTGGTTTCAGGCATACTCTAGGGATCTTGGAAAATATTACCCATGGATAAGAGGTGGCTACTGTAGGTGTGTCTACAAGATTCACCTCCCAAGACAATATAAGAAAGAAAGAAAGAATAAAATTTTTTTTCTGTTAAATGCCCTTTGTCAGTCTCCACAAATTGCTTTGATTTCTGCTTCAGAAATAAATAAATAAAGAGAAAAGAACTGACTGATAGGATTTTGATGATAGAACACATTTCCTTAAATTTAATTCCAATTCTATTTAAATTTAACACAAGTTTATACCTCACAAAATATGTTTTCATTTGTTTGAGGTGAAAGTGGCAGAAGTTTATAGGCATGATAAAAATAAAAGGCATTCTAAGTCTAAATGACTACCTTATATTAAAACATTTGATTAAAACCAGAATATTTATTATATTTTGATGAGAGGAAACCTTTCCTTAAAGTCACCCAGAACCACCAACCTTACATGTAAACACTCTGTTACGCCAGTCTCTGTTTCATTACCTTAGTCACTGAAATTGGGGTTGACTACCTGATAAAACAAATAATTCATTTATTTGCTTTAAACACCTCTTTCCCAAATTAACCAAGAACTACCTGTGCTATGTCTCTTGATTAACAGCTGCTTAGTTTATGCTAATTGTTTTGATCACTCTCGCATTATGCCTCGCATTAATCACTAAATTTTATATGTAAGCTAAATTTTCACTTTATATCCCTAGGAGAGTGAGAAAAAAAGAGCCCATTGAGAGCCACAGAAAATAGATAAAATAGACTCATACCAAGATATAGTGTGAAATTTTAATATACTGTATGTGGTGTTCTACAAAGAAAAAAATAAGTCACATAACAAAAATCAAAAATCAAAATTGTTCCATACTTTTCATTGGGATAGAGGAAGTTCAAGGTCAATAGAAGTATACCTTAAAAACTTCTGAAGGAAAATGATATCCAAGCTAACATTCTATACCAAGCCAAATTTTAGTCCAGTTTCAGGGTAGAGTAAGTAAATTTCAGGCAGGCAAATTCTAAAAAAAATTTTTTTTCTTGTTCCTTTCTTTTGGGAAATGACCGGGGGCTGAGTTCTACCAAAATGAGGGAACAAAACAAGAAAAAACTGGCAAACCAGGAGTAGTATTTTCAACTCAATAGGAGATGAAGGTAATAACCATGATGTTAGTGAAGGGAGATCTCAGGATGGAAAATGCAGACATATAAGATAACATCCATATTGTAATATGGCAGAAGGTTCTGTGAGAAACTCCATTAGGAAAATGAAATAAATAGAATACCTGATTCATCTGAACATTTTGAGAAGAGATTTAGACAACTTGTAAGAATTTAGATGAAATTATTGATAACTATATGAAAAATTAAGCAAATAAGAAAAGATAATTATTAGTTCTAGACAAACATAAGTTAACAGTAAAGGAGGAGTAATCATGATTTCCTTCCCGGGCCAGCTGGGAATATTGTTTAAATTATATTACTATAGCCGTACAGCATTCTTTTAGTTATTCTTTCCATGGATGTTTGTTTCCTATCATTTTACTTTTAATTTATTTGTGTCTTTGTGAAATGTGTCTCTTTATACATCACATGGTTAAATTATGGTTTTTCAAAAATCCATTTTGCCAATCTTTACCTTTTGATTAGAGTATTTAGTCCATTTACATTTAACGTGATTACTGATAAGATAGGATTTATGTCTGCCACTTCGATATTTGGTTTTTATGTCTTTTTTTGTTCCTCTATTCCTCCACTACTGCATTTTTTGGGGTATGTTAAATAGATATTTTGGGGGTATGTTAAATAGATATTTCGTCATTTCTTTTATTATTATTTTTTAGTTATTAGTGGTTGCCCTCAGGATTACAATTAGCATCTTAATTTAAACAATTTAGTTTGAATTAATATTAATTTAACTTCAATAGTACACAAAAACTTTGCTCCAGTATAGTTATTTTCCATTCCCCCTCCTTTGTTCTATTATCGTTATATAAATCACATTTTTATATATGATAAGCCCATCGACACAGTTTTACAATTATTCCTTTATACAGTTGTCTTTTAACTCGGATGGAGAAGAAAAGAGTTACAAAGAAAAATACATTTATGCTTTCTTTTATATTTATTTATACAGTTACCTTTATGGGTGTTCTTTATTTCTTTGTGTGGATTGACTTACTGTAAGTCTAGTGTCTTTTTATTTGAGCCTAAAGTAATTATAGTAATATAATTACTACTTATAGTTCAGTCCTCTAGTCACAGATTCTTCCAGGTTTTGTTTATCTGAGAATGTTTTAGTTTCTCCTTAATTTTTTGAAAGATAGTTTTGCTAGATATAAAATCCTTAAATGATGGTCTTTTCCTTTTCGGCACATTGAATATGTCATCCAACCCTCTGCCTTCTGGCTCCCATAGTTTCTGATGAGAAATCAGATGTTATTGAGGATCCCATGAAATGAGGAGTTATGTTTTTCTTGCTAATTTCAAGATTCTCTTTTTGTCTTCATCTTTATCTTTTGACAGTTTGACTATGAGGTATCTAAGTGTACATTAATTTGAATTTCTCATACTTGGAGTTTGTTGATTTTCTTGGATGTATAGATTAATGTTTTTCATCAAATTGAATATGTTTCCGGTCATACTTCTTCCAATATTCCTTCTGCCTCTTTATCTTCCTCCTCTCCTTCTGGAATTGCTATTATGCACGTTTGATGCTTGGTGGTGTCCTTAGGTCTCTTAGGCTCAGTTAATTTTTCTTACTTCTTTCTTCTTTTTGATTCCTCAGACTCAATATTCTCAGTTGACTTACCTGCAAGTTCATTGATTCTTTATTCTGAAAACTCAAATCTGCTGTTGAGCCTCACTAATGAATTTTTCATTCCAAAATTTCTACTTGGATCTTCTTATAATATCTGTCTTTTCATTGATATTCTCTATTTAATAAGACACCATTCTCAGATGTTCTTTTAATTCTTTATATATGGCTTCCTTTAGCTCTTTAAACATATTTATAATAGGTGATTTAAAGTCTTTGTCTAGTAGTCCCACTTCCTCAAGGACAGTTTGTATTAACTTATTTTTCCCCAGCATATGGGCCATACTTTCTGAGGTTTTTGCATGTCTCATAACTTTCATTGAAATGTGGACATTTAAAAAGATATATTGTGGCAATTCTGGATATCAGGTACCCACTCCAACCAGAGTTTATTATTGTTGCTCTATTTTGTTGTTGTTATTTTGTTGCTGTTTTTGTTTAGTGACTTTTATGGACTAATTCTGTCAAGTCTATATGCTCTGTTGTGTTGATATCTCTTCTTGGTTGCCTTTGTAGTCAGCTAATGATTGAACATAGATTATTTTAAATGCCTTGACCCAGTAAGTCTTCCACCTTTTGCCTAAGTTCTTTAGATGTATATTAGGTATCTGACACTTTACCATCCTGCCTTAACCTTTACTTCCTGATTGCACAGGACCTCATAGTCAGACAGAGGTGAGAGATGAGAGTATTCTCAGTTTTTTTCTGGGCGTGTACATAGTCTGCACATGCACATGATCTTCTAAATTCCCAGGAATATGTTGGAGTTTTTCAAATCTCTCTATGAACATCTCATTTCCAAGGTGGTTTTTATGTCTTTTGACCATCATCTTCTTTACCTCAACTGGTAGTCCTGCCTCAGGCAGCTGCAAAGTTAAACAATTTCCTGTTTTCTTTGTTTGTTTGTTTGTTTGATGAACACCCTGAGGATAGCTTTTTACACTGAACAAGTTCTGAGTCTGATTAAATAATGACAAATCCTGTAAATAAGAATTTTCTAAGAACTTTTAGACATGTCAAACAGTGACAGATGAAAATATTAAAGGAGTTTCAAATCTGGTTAGCCCTCTTGGCTGCTTAGCTGCTGATTTTCAAGGCTACTGTGGTGCTGAGGGGAGATGTAGGAAGAGTTAAAATGCTACAAAAGCTTACTGCTTTTACCAAGTTTCAACAGTTTTTTTTTTTTTCAAATAAACACTCCTTGGATACTTTCAAGTTAATTTCCAAAGTTTTGAAAAAGTCAATTTTTGGCAATTTTTGCCCAGATTCTCATTGCTTTAATGGAAAAGTGCATTTTCAAAAGCCCTTACTCCACCATTATGGAAGTTCCATTTTCCAACAATATTTAAATGATAAAGTAAACACTGATCGTTGTTTTAATCAAAATTACATTGTATTGGCAGGATAGGTTGGGAGGGTGAATGTTTGAAGGGTGATGTACACATGGGTAGAAAGAAAATTAAATCCTCATTTTCTGTAGGAAGTTAAAAGAAAATGGCCCAAACTAAGAAATCAGGAGTTA